CCCTAAGAGGACTGTCTCTAAGTAGATGTCTAATTGTACTTCACAGTGGAACGACATGGCTGGTGTTAAATAGAACACTATGTGCTAAGACTCACTGAGCGTTAACACAACTGCCCCTGTGGATTGTTTCTAAGATATTTCCACATAAGCATCTCCAAAGTAAATACAAAGTTCTTTCAATGCATTTAGAGCATTATTTCTTGGTTTTGACTTCCAGGGCAGGATCCTATTTCAAAATAATTTTTCTTTTGCGATATCCCTCCTGCTTACCATGCAGAAGTGAGAATCCTACTGAGATGATATCTCTGATATTCAGGACATGCTATTCCTATCGTGGCTACAGTAACACTAGTATATCTGTACCACTGGAATGCTCACTGAAGACACCAAGATCAGGTCTACACTAAAGGGGAAGGTTGAATTAAGATACGCAACTCCAGTTACTTTAATTATGTAGCTGGAGTCAGTATGCCTTAATTCAAGCTTCCCCGCTGTACCCACAGTGGGAGGCCAATGGGAACAAACTCTCCTATCAGCTTCCCTTACACCTCACAGATGCAGGAGTATCAGCCACTGACGGGACTTAGTAGACCGCTAAATTGAATTCCAGAAGATTGATTGCGACAGCACTGATCTTCCCCCAAGTGAAGACATGGCCTAAGAGCTTCTCCCATCTGCATGGGTACTCCATTGTCCTGATAGGCTGGAGCTATGTAGACAAGGGAAGCCCTCCCATCAATAAATCACTGTCTACATGAGTTTGGTCAGTATAACTGTATCACTCAGGGGTATGAATTTTCCACATGCCTGAGTGACATAGTTATACCAATAGGTGGAAACCAGGGTTGAGATGCAAAAAATTAATAGTCTTAGCACTAGCAGATCTAGCCACTCAAAGATTCCCCCTTGCCTAAGACAATCCTTAGGTGGGATAGCTGCTATATTATCTATTGCCCTAGTTCTCGACAGAGACGTATGACTGGGAAAGAGGCACCACAGCCAGAAGTGTCTGAATCTGGCTGATCCCATTGTCAAAATGACCTCTATGGGGCACTAGCAACCAGCAGGCTGCTCCAGTGTACACTAGAGACCAGGCTGGCAAATGATAGCTTCAGGGAATGTGAATATGGCTGACAATCACTTTTGCCTCTACCTCAAAAACTGTACCAAAAATAATTTGGTCAAGCTGGAGAATTTTTTCCAGTACCTTTAAAGAGGATAATATTATTTACCTTCCAATTCTGCTGCCCTGACACTGTCACAATGCCATTCCCACTTAGACACCCATTTAGGAATGTTAAATATTGAATAACTGAATAGTCAATTTATCTTATGAATTCTTATCAGCTATTCAACTATTCTATAGTCCCCAGGGGTGGAGGTGGGGCCAGTAGCCAGTGCACTCCAGCCCCACTCCTGAGGAGTCCGCTGCTGCCTCTGTATCAGCATGAGCTGGAATTGAGCTGAGCTGCTTGACCGCCTGGCTCCTAATACACTTTAAATGCAAAGTCACAGCAGGGGTAGGTCCCAGACCCAGCACAAGCCAAGACTGACCTGTGCTGCTGGCCAGCCTACTAAAAAAATGTACTGGGCGGGGGGGGAATATGTAGTACGAAGCACTAATCTATAAGCTTTTGCTTATTGGTTAATCGACTACACCACTATATCCCTACACTCAACTGCCTCTCTGAGTGTGGAGGTATCTCTCATACACCTGGTTTCCTTTTTCCCCTCCCCACATTATTTTAATTATGGGCTAATATTTCTATCCTACTGATTATCAGGAACTTTTCCACACACAAATCCCACACCATAAAGCTTTTCCCATTAGTCAAAAGAATAGATTAAGAGAGAAGCATTTAGCAACCACTCTACTCTAATTACCCAGTTACTACTGCCCTCAAGGGTCAAACCTAGGAGTTGAAATAATGTACCTTGTGAAGTAAGGTTATTAATTTTCATAGGTGTTTGAAAAACAAGACAACAACAGATGAAATTCACAGGGCTATGTTGTACCAGCCATTTCTAAACTCAACACCCCAATAATTTAAGAAGTGGTAGTATTGTGTGGCTTCCAGAGGGGTATATAATTGAAACATGTGGTTATGGAATTAATAGTGAGGTAAAGACAGAGGCACTAGATGCAGTTGTACAGAACACACACGCATGAATGCCCACATTCCTTTAACACAGCAATTACATCTGTCAGGCTTATGGGAAGTGAAATGTAAAGTCTTTCTAAAACTGAGGATACTTCCATACTTGTCAGGACAGTTGAGGAGATTTACTTTCTACCATCTATTAGGAGCTTTGAAGGCAAAAGACAATGAGGGAGCTAAGTATTATTCAATGTGCAGAACTTAAATTATAACAAATATTTTCACATATTTTTAATACCAGGTTGTTCAAAAACAGAGGAAATTCATGTATCACATTTACTTTTTCAAATATACACCTTATTATTTCTATTTCTTTATCTGACACTTATCTATACCAAGGAACAAAACTATAAGTTTTAAAACATCTGTATTTGAAACATCAGATTGCTTTTTAAAAAGCAAAGCATAAAAATAAGTAGTTAAATTATTAAATCAGTCTACCTACATATACCCATCCTGCCTTTCCTTTTGGTTCCCTGACTAGGACAACTGAGGTAGAGTTTTACTAAGCTTACTAATAAAATGTGAAGGAACATGCTTGTTTAGAACAAATATGCCAAATTTCACCCCAAAATGTAGCTTACAGAACTTGAAAAGTTCATGAAGCCACAGGCTTCGAATTAAGTTGCTTCTTCAATTACTATGCTGAAATCAAAGCCATGAAATATTGTTGAAGCTCTGAGGTTCAAATCCCAAATCCTGAGGTTTAAAATTGCTTTAGCTTGTAACAGAAATAATATTTAAGCACTATCCTTTTCCACATCTCCCACTGAAAAGAGTCCCCCACCCCATTCTATATGTTGAATCAATGCCAGATACTAAACACACACACTATATATTGTATACATGAAAGAAATGGTAAATGGCCACTCATGTTCCAAATTCATTTATAAACAGGATTCTAAGGGAGAGAAACATGAATGAGATAAAACAAGATAGATGATAGGAACAACAGTAATGTTTAATCACTATAGATAAGATAGAAAATACACATACAAAATAAAGTTTTATAAAGAAAATCACATTTGAAAGAGAGTATTAGTGTTTATATTTGACAGACATAGGAACCATGAGGACTTTCGTCAATGCAGTTGTCCATTTAAATGGCTCTAGATTCAAGGTTTTAACAGGACTCAACAAATCTGCTCTGAAGTGCATGAAACACAACAAAACAAATAATTAAGACATAATTCTGACCCAAATGAAGTAAATGGAAGTTCTACCATTGACTTTAAAAGAAATCAGAATTTCATCCTTTGAAACTTAGGGATCTCTAACTTCCTTTGCCTTTTCCCATTGCCTCGAGTCAAATGTTTGAGGTCATTTTTTTTTTTAAATAAAGTTTGACTTGAGAATTATCCCCTATAATTTGTTCACAGTGTGCAGTACTCCTACTAATCATAGCAGAAGTTATGTAGTACACACAGTGAGAATTTTTAAATAAAGTATTTAGAATTCAGAAGGAAGTGGATCAACGATGCAGACTATATGAGCCAGTGTAAAATACAAAGCAGCATGAGTTTAAAAATAGGCTAAACTCTAAATTCAATTGAGATGAAATTCTATTAGAAATGTATGAAAAAAACAAACAGATACTACTATAGCTTTGTGGTATGTAGTAATCAGTAGTACAAAGGGGAAAAAGTTACTGAAGACAAAACAATGCTATTAAGCAGAACTGCTAACACAAAAGCATTCAGCGCTAGGATGAAAAGAGGTCAGAAAACCGAAGATTCCTTATTTTTATCTCCTCCAAAGAGTTTTACCAGAATGTAACCCACATTTTTCACATTTTAGCTAGACCAGAAATAGTCTTTAATTAGTATTTAAAATTGAAGTCTTTAACCAATCTTCACACACCAACCAAGAGGTAGGTTTCATGTAACAAGAAATCAGCATCTGAAGATATTCAGAGATTATAAAGCCAGAGTAGGCTATTGCTATAATTTAGCCTGATCCCAGCACAGAACAAACCATGAACTTTCCTTGATTTGTTTGAAATTGAGTATTCTATACAATGTGTAGAAACTTTAACTATTTTATAGTCTCCAACAACATACAGTCTACTCCAAAAGGTGGCAGAAGCTTACAGATCTGAGTTTAAGTCTTAAATCACTATACACAAATTCCATTAACTTGTATGGGGAAGATAGAACAGAAACTCAATTCCAATGAAGCTGCCTCTACTGTTTAATTCAAAATAAGGGGTAAAAGAGTGTTCCATGTAACTCAATTCCAATGAAGCTGCCTCTACCAGAACACTGTTGAATTCAAAATAAGGGGTAAAAGTGTTCCATGCGAGCTCTTCTATTTTTTTGTGCAACAAAGAACAGAAGCAGCTTTGATGATTTAATGATGACATGCTACACTTGGGAGAGGGACTCTCTTACTCGTAATTACCTTTTCCCTATCTACTTCACAGCTGCAATAAAGCCATTTGTTCTTCAAATATACAATTGTGACTGGTTCCTACTGGTCAGTGTCCAACACCTGCATCTTTATAAATCTGAGTGACAAGTTGTTGCTGTTTTCCTTCTAATACAAATCTACAGTTATCTCAAGCCGGTTTGTGGACAACTGAAACCAACACGAAGAAAGGAGCTTAAGGGGAAATCATTTAGTTGTTTTGCCTAGATCAAATTCAGACAAGGGGAGGAGGGCAGAGAGAAGACAGAGCAAAGGCTTCCTATTGCAACCCAGCGGCCCGTGTTAGTCAGCGCACATCTGAATTATCTGGCCCCCACGTGGGAAGAGGAAGGAAGCAATGCAACTGTGAGCACAAGCACCATCAGGGCTCTGAAGCACTCGGGCTGAGGAATGGAGATGCCCGCAGTATCTTACCTTGTCCAACTCATCGTGCAGCTCGGCCAGGCTAGGCCGGATGAGCTTCTCGCCCAGGTCGGCGGCCGTGTGCCGGTAGTGATCTATCCTGGGCACGGCGTCCATGGTGTTGTGGCCAAAGGTGCGCAGGTAGTAGGTGTTGGTGTGGGTATCGTAGTAGTAGTGGTGATGCCCGCCGGGGCCGCCGCACCCGGAGTGGAGACTGCCCTCGCTCAGCACCGTATCGCCGCCGTTCTGGAAGCTGACCCCGCCGCCCTCCGGGCCCCCGCCGTGCTCGACATGGCTATCCTCGCC